TTTTTAAAAAAATGAGATAAGAAAGAAAAGTAAAGCATGTGTAAAGGAGAGCTACTTGGGTAGATGGTAGGGGCAACACATGAGGAATGAGCAGAGACGGGCAAATTGAGCAGATAATTATTAAGCTGTGAGTCAAGTGCAGTGGCTCACATGCCTGCAATCCCAGCCTCTGGGAGGCTGAGGCAGGCAGATCACCTGAGGTCGGGAGTCTAAGACCAGCATCATCAAAATGGCAAAACCCTGTTTCTATTAAAAATGCAAACACTGGCCGGGCATGGTGGCGGGCACCTGTAATCCCAGCTACTCAGGAGGCTGAGGCTGAAGAATTGCTAGAACCTGGGAGGTAGAGGCTGCAGGTAGAGCCAAGATCGCACCACTGTACTCCATCCTGGGCAACAGAGTGAGATTTTCTCAAAAAAATAAAATAAAATATAAAATATAAATAATTTAAGCTATGTTGGAAGAGAAGGAGCCAGTTGTGAAGGTGGAAATGGGTGAGAGGGCTTTCGGAGCCAAGAAGAATGCAAATGAAAAAATCTTGAGGCAGAAATTAGCTAAAACCTGTATTAGTCTCCTAACTAAATACAAACTGGGTGACTTCAAACAACAGAATTGTATTCCCACATGGTTCTGTTTTCCAATGTTTCGTTTCTGTTTTTAAATGCTTTGGTTTTGTTCCGAGAAAGAGTCTTGCTCTGCCGCCCAGGCTGAAGTGCAGTGGCATGATCTCAGCTCACCGTAACCTCTGCCTCCCAGATTTAGCCATTCCCCTGCCTCAGCCTTCTGAGTAACTGGAATTACAGGCACGTGCCATCACACCCAGCTAATTTTTCTATTTTTAGTAGAGACGGTGTTTCACCACGTTGGCCAGGCTGGTCTCGAACTCCTGAACTCGTGATCTGCCTGCCTCGGCCTCCCAAAGTGCCAGGATTACAGGCGTGAACCATTGCACCTGGCCTCTAGCACAGTTCTGGGGGCCAGAAATCCAAAATCAAAGTATCAGCAAGGCTGGGTCCTTGTAAAGGCTCCGAGGGAGAATCCATTCGGTGTTTCTGTCCTGCCACCTGGAGGCTTCCAGCAATCCTGGACGATCTTTGGCTCATACCTGCCTCATCCCAATCTCCGCGTCTATCTCCACATTGTCCTCTTCTCTCTGTGTATTCTCCTCTTTTGATGAGGACACCAGTCACTGGACTTAGGGCTCACCCTGAATCCAGGATGACTTCATTGCAAGATCCTTCACTACCTGCATCTAAAATGACCATATTTCCTTGTTTTGGTTTGGTTTGGTTTGGTTTGGTTTGGTTTTCTAAGACAGGATCTCTCTCCGTCGCCCAGGCTGGAGTGCAATGACACAAACTCCACTCACTGTAGCCTCAACCTCCTGGGCTCTAGTGATCCGTCCACCTCCGCCTCACAAGTAACTGGGAACACAGGCATGTACCATCATGCCCAGCTAATTTTTTAAAAACTTTTTTATTTTGCTTTATTCATTTTTATGGCTGAATAATAATCCATTGTATGGATAGAGCACCTTCTGTCTAGCTTGAGGAAACATATGTTTTGTGAGTTTTTCATTTTACATAATTGATGTTATACAGCATGAATGGCACTGTTACTTTTTTTTTTCCATCTACCAATGTGACTTGGTGAAGTGAGTAATATTGGTGGGTTCTTTAAAGTATAAGAGACACTGTCAGATTATCTCAAGATATGGAAGAGAGTTATTGCCTGGAACTCTCCACGGGTGACATGCCACTCATTCTCACAACACATCAAGAAAGGTGTTATCAATATTCAAGACATTAAGAAATTAAGTTTCATAGAAATAAAGCAGTTGCCCAAGTACCAACCATATGAAAAGCTCTTCAAAATTAGGTATTGAATAGATGAATAAAATGAATCAGTGGCCGAGGTGGGGATTTGAACTCAGCTCTGTGCACCTGAAGGTCCATCTCCTGCCTCTGCACGCAGAACCAGAAACCAGAGCAGGGACCGCTGTGGATTTAAAGCAACTGCTGTTATAAGCTGATGGGAGGCAGGGGCAGAATTATAATCACCTGCTTTCTGCAGTCCTGGGGGATAAGCCCTCTCTCCAGGAGGACAAAAGTTTCTAGGGCTGACAGGGAAAACACATCAAGCATTTGGCAAATGCACGACCTTTGGAGAAAGGGCTGTTCTGAATAACCAGGCTAATAATAATCACCTGACAGCAATTTCCTGCAAGCTGGTTTCTTAAAACACATCTGGCAGTTCATCTGCCTTCCCTCTACTGCAGACGCAGTTTGTCACCAGTCCAGGTGGTGGAAGTGATGGACACTGCAGTGTGTGAGAGTGTGCGCCTTAACCCTTGCTTCGCCAAGTCTGGGGGAGACCTGCCTGGGACACTAGGAAGGACATTGAACCCTAACGCTCCACCCAACAGACTCACTGGGACATTTTGAATATGTGAGTCTGAGATCCGGTGCAGTGGCTCACGCCTGTAATTCAGCGCTTCAGGAAACCGAGGGGGTGGATCATGTGAGGTCAGGAGTTTGAGAGCAGCCTGGCCAACGTGGTGAAACCCTGTCTCTACTAAAAATACAAAAATTGGCCGGGTGTGGTAGCGAGCGCCTGCAATCGCAGCTACTCAGGAGGCTGAGACAGGAGAATCGCTTGATCCCAAGAGGCAAAGGTTGCAGTGACCTGAGATTGCGTCACTGTACTCCAGCCTGAGTGACAGAGGGAGACTCCATCAAAGAAAGAGAGAGGGGAGGGAGGGAGGGAGGGAGGGAGGGAGGAAGAAAAAAGAAAAGAACAGAAAAAGTGGGTCTGCATCTCACTGTTCATGTAACTTTGAGCAAGGCACTTCGCCTCTCTGAGCTTCTGAGTGGGCGCGAGAATGAAGAAAACCACAAGACGAAAGAGGCCAGCAGTGTGCCTTGTTCATAACGGAGGCTCAGGAACAGAGGGTGCTCTCCCCAACTCCCCCAGCTACCATCTCTTCACAGGCCTACCAAGAAGGGCTGGCTTTCTTTCCCCTTATCTGGTGACCTATTACTGTGTTGGAAATCACCTCAAAATTTGTGGCACTAATAATAACTCTTTTCTGTGTTCCTAAATTCTGTGGGTCAGTCTCAGAGGCCATCTGGGCTGCTATAACAGAATATCATACATGGGGTGGCTGATAAAACGCATTCATTTCTCATGGTTCTAGGGGCTGCAAAATCCAAGATCAAGGCACTGGCAGATTTCATGTCCAATATTTGGTCATAGATGGCTTTTTGCTGTGTCCTCATATGACAGAAGTGGTGAGGCAGCTCTTTGGGGCCTTTTTGTAGAGGCATTAATCCCCTATAAAAGATTATAGGTTTGATGAGAGGAGAGATGTGATCTGACTTTTGACTTTAAAGGATCCTTTTCCCTGCTTTAAATTGGAAGACAAAACTCCCAAGGGTGTGAACAATGCCTTCCTAGTGCCCTCACCACCTCCCAACATCCTCTGGGGATATCTGAGAGAACCCTCAGTGAACTAGAGAGAAAACTAGGAATAGAATCCGATGCCAAGACACCTAATTGGCTCTCTGTGTACTGTCCCGGGGGATTTCAGGAAACACAATCTGTTTCTTAAAAAAAAAAAAAAAAAAAAAAAAAAAAACTGCTTATTTGTGTCGCTTAGTCACCCTATCAACTCTCCACATTTTATCATCAGTAACCATGAAATTGATGTTGATTTACTTCTGTTTTGAAAAGAGAAAAAATAATTTAGAAAAACGGTGTCAGCTGAGGCCGTGCGTGTATGTGTATACGTGAGCAGACGGGCATATGGATTTTATATACGTGGACTTTGCATATGTGCCTGTGTTTATATTTGTGTGTCGATGTTGACAGGTCTGAGAGTAGACACCACTGTGTGTGTCTGGGAACGTCTGTGAACACATCAGTGTGGTGTATATTCCTGGCAGCTCCCCATCTCATGCGTCATAAAATCCAAAGTTCTTACAATGTCGCGAAAGTTCTAACCCTGGCTACATCTGTATTCTCGTTTTCTGAAGCCCGTCCCCTGCGTTACTCCATTGTGGCCAGGCTGACTTCCATGTTGTCACTAGGACACACAAGCTGAAAAAAGGGCCAGGATCGTTGACTTTACTTTTTCTAAAAATGCAGTGACTCAGACAAGAGACATGAGAACCTGCGGTCTATCCTGTTCATCCTCTTCAGGGCATCCTCCTGAGGGCTGTGCTCAGTCACCGACTCAGAGGCTTTGTGAAATTCTGCAGGCAAGGCCAATAGGAGCAAACATGGATTCTTATGTTTGCTATTTTGTCTCACCTCCCTGGTGTTGGAAACTTGATGAGCATATAATTTAATGAAATCACTACCACTTTTTAAGAATAAGGAGTACTGGCTGGGCTTGGTGGCTCATGCCTGTAATTTAAGAGCTTTGGGAGGCCAATGCTGGAGGACTGCTTGAAGCCAGGAGTTTGAAGGCAGCCTGGACAGCATAGCAAGGCACAGTCTCTACAGAATTTTTTTTAAATGGTGGCACGCAGCTGTAGTCCCAGCTACTAGGGAGGCTGAAACAGGAGGATCGCTTCAGCCCAGGAGTTCAAGGCTGCACTGAGCTATGATGACACAGCCGCACTCCAGCCTAGACAACAGAGAAAGGCCGTCACACACACACACACACACACACACACACACAAGAAAAAATAATAAACGAGTACTAAGAACATGGATAACGATAACACCAGTGATAATAAATGCAGTCGCTGGCATGCTGGTTAAACAGTACCGGCTCTGCATCCTATACCCCCGGTTCGAATCCAGGCTTTACCACTTAGCAGCTGGGCGAGTTATTTAATTCATGTTTAACTCCGTTAGACGAATGAATCGGCAACGCACGTGCAGAAGGTTGCCCCGCCCGCCACCCCCACCCGCCACACACCACGCCTAGCCGGCGACCACAGCGTAGGTTGCAGGTGAGCGCCCGCACGCTTACGCGGCCCGGGCAAGTAGGTGGAGCCACGGTGCGCCGCGGTCGGACTGACGCGCGCGGGGGCGGGGCCGCGCCTGCGCAGACCCGCTGTTATGGCGGCCGCCTAGGTCCCACCGAGAGGGTGGTCGGGTGGGACTCCAGGCTGGGCTCTGTGGCGGGTAAGTCCCTGGAAGGGGCAGCGGGATAGGGTAGGGTGCAGGGAACCTCTGGGCGCCGAGCCTGACTTTGAAACCCGAGCTCCCACGGATCCGAGGTCCAGATCCCTAAGGCCCGACCCCACGCTTGGCCTCAGTTTCCCCTTCTAAGCACAGGTGTTGGGGGGAGAAGTCCACGTCCTCACCTGGGTTTCCCCGTCCTGGGTCCAGGCAGCTCTCCTTCGGTTACGAATTAAGAAGGGAGGACAATGTCCGACCTGTGACTGCCTTTTGAGAGGGCAGTAGTTAACCCACAAGGGTGGCGTTAGGAAGGCGACAAGGGAATGAGGACGAGAAGCCCCACGGGGGACGTCCCGGAGCCCCTCACTGCGACTCTGCGCGCCGTGGCCGGGCCCCCTCATTACCACCCCGACCCCGGGCCTTCACACCCTGCCCTCCGTTACCCTGCTTTTGGCCCTAAATCGTCATGGGGTCGCGCCAAATTCCAGATTGTTGGGTGAGTTGCCCTTAGCAGAAAGAAAGATGAGGAGGGAAGTTATTTTAACACCGTGATCCCAGCAAACTGCTTATTTGGGACAACTGACTGGGGACCTATAGGAGGGGAGTGCTGGCAGCGTCTCAGTCTAGCCCTCACAGTCTTAGAAGAGCCAAGAACACGTTAGCTCCTGCTGCGGGGATGAGCCTGCAGCCCCATGGAGGGTGGCGGGGCGGGTCGCCATCCGCAACCTGATTCTCCTTTCTCAGCTCTACCCAGTGAAGAGAGGAGCCCGAAGCCCATATATACCCTGTATTCCCGGTGGGAGGCTTCCTGACTAGAGAAACTGTTAACTTTTTTCTTTCTTCCTGGCATTCACTTTAATAATTATTATATTTCTATAATTGCTATCGTTGCTTATTAAACGTTTACTAGCTGTCGTGAGCCCTAAAAGTGATCATTGTCTCATTTACTCCTCATACAGGCCCTGAGATAGGTTCAATAGGGCCTCCTTATTCCCAGATTGCTGATTCTGCGGTAAGTCCCTCAAAGGGAATCTCCTTCACCTGGGACTTACCTGCAGCATACATTTCTTGGGAAGCCTGGTTGGATTGAATTTAACAATGGAAAATTCGACTAGAGATTAAGAATTTGAGTTTCCTTTTTGTCTATAGTTAAGAAAATTTGGTGTGTAATATTATGCTCACTTTTGGAAAAAGCAAAGAACATTGATTTTTCTGGGATGTAAGTTTTCCAACAAGATTGCACTGTAGGCTACCCACAGTGGTTCACACCTGTAATCTCAGTACTTTGGGAAGCCAAAGTGGGCGGATCACCTTGAGGTCAGGAGTTTGAGACTAGCCTGGCCAACGTGGCAAAATCCTGTCTCTACTAATAATACAAAATTAGCTGGGCAGGGTGGCATGTGCTTGCAGTCCCAACTACTCAGGACACTGAGGTAGGATCCCTTAAACCCAGGAGGCAGAGGTTGGAGTGAGCCAAGGTGGCACCACTGCACTGCAGCCTGGGCAACAGAGTGAGACTGTATCTCAAAAAAAGAAAGAAAGAAAATGCACTATAGTGAAAAAAGAAATGGCATCCTTTGTTTGTTTTGATTTTCACAGCAATGTTAGAGAGGATCTTTTTTTCCCCCAAAACTATGTGTGAAGGTCCCCAGTTTTCCCCCAGGATATCTCTAAGTCCTGAGAAAGCTTGATCTGCCTTTGAAATGAGTGGTAGGTATAAGCTGTATTTTCTCTTCCAGAATCTGGTGTGGTTTTGCCAGTCCCATTGATTAATAGTGTTTGCCTGAAGGTCGAGCCTTTTTCCACTTTCAATGACACCATGAAATTCTGCGTTTATTTGCCAGCTTCACAGACTTTCTTTACAACCCACTTGCATTTTGATGGCTTTATAGTGTTGAGTAGGAAAGCCAGCATTAGGAATCATCTTTTTCCTAAAACTTTTGTATTGGAACAACTTCTGCTGCCCCATGGCAAACACTTAAATGTAGGAATTCCAGCTGTGTACTGGGATCATTGGGACAGCCTGAGTCATGATGACCTCCTTTTGCAGTTGAAGAAATGGAGACCCTGCAAGATTTCGTGACATGCCTAGGGGATATACCTACCCTGATAGGAACAGTTCCTGCAGGCAGTCAGGGGTTTTGGGCAGGTTTGGGTCAAATACCTGAAACCAACCCCAGGACAAGAAGGTTTCTGGTGTTTTATTAACACCTACTGTAGACCAAGGACTCTCCCACCCAGTAGTACCACTGCATGAGAGTGTGGCTGAAGAAACAGATGCAGAAAGGTGATGTGATTTTCCTGAGATCACATAGCTAGAAGGCGAGAGACCAGGGATCCCCATGTGGGCTGTCCAGCTTCAAAGCCCATCAGAATACTGCTATTTGATGATGCTTTTCAATGAGGTGAAACATTTGGTTGGAAGGAGATCCTCCCTGTTTTGACCACTTTGCCTCAGCCATGGTTTTCCAAGTTTTAGTTATTGCTGTATCACCTGCATAATTTTTCCATATCTGCCTATCATCTGTGTAGTGATTCCCTTAATTACTTTTCCTTTAAATCCATTCACCTTTTTTTTTTTCAATTTATTTTATTTTATTTTATTTTAATTTTATTTTTTAGACAGGGTCTTGCTTTGTCATTCAGGCTGGAGTACAGAGTGCAGTGGGGCATTCTTGGCTCACTGCAGCCTCCGCCTTTAGAGCTCAAGCAATCCACCCACCTCAGTCCTCCAAGTAGCTGGGAGTACAGGCGTGCGCCACCATACCTGGCTAATTCCACTCACCTTTTTAAATTCAGTAGCAAAGCTTTAGGCCAGGCATGGTGGCTCATGCCTATAATCCCAGCACTTTGGGAAGCTGAGGTGGGAGGATCGCTTGAGCCCAGGAATTTGAGACCCTCATCTCTACAAGAAGAAATTTTTAATGCCAAGCATGGTGGCATAGCTGTAGTCCTAACTACTAGGGAGGTTGAGGCAGGAGGCTCTCATGAGTCCAGGAGTTTGAGGCTGTAGTGAGCCATGCGTTTACCACTGCACTACAGCCTAGGCAACAGAGCAAAATCCTGTCTCTAAAAAGAATGTTTTATTTTGGGGATGGAGACTCACTATGTCACCCAGGCTAGAGTGTAGAGGTGCAATCTTGGCTCACTGCAACCTCTGCCTCGTGGGTTCAAGCTATTCTCCTGCCGCAGCCTCCCGAGTAGCTGGGACTACAGGCACATGCCACCACACCTGGCTAATTTTTTTTGTATTTTTGATAGAGACAAGGTTTCACCATGTTAGCCAGGATGGTCTTGATCTCCTGACCTCATGATCTGCCCACCTTGGCCTCTCAAAGTGCTGGGATTACAGGTGTGAGCCACCTCACCTGGCCAAAGAAATTGTTAAAAATAAAACATTGTTTAAAATAGGAAAGCTTTATAACAACAAATGATACAGGAGCAGTTTATAGCAGCTTCTAGAATTAAAAAGAAAGAGTAAAGTGCCTTAACAAGTAAATGCAAAGTGTAAATTGTGATTGGATACTGGTTTGAGGGGAATAACCTCAAGGACCTTTGGGAGCCAGACGGAGGAAATTGACTTTAAATGCTATTAGGGAATTACTAATTATCTTACATTTGCTAATGGTCTTACGGTTATATAGGGAAATGCTCTTAGGGGACAGACACTGAAGAATTTAGGGGCAAAATGTCATGAGTCTGCAATGTACTCTTAGCTCGAGAAAAACACAGAGAGGGCAGGCACATGTGGCAAAATGGTGACGATCATTGAATCTAAGCAGTGCTTATATGGTTATGATATTCCCCTATATTCTTCCTGTTTGAAATATTTTTGTAATAAAGAAGTTGAAAAAAAGATGAGAAACTTGATCCCTACAACTGGAAATTTAATATTTCTTGCTATAAATAAAAGGTTACTGTGAAAGTGAATATATTATAAACAACGCAATTCAATTCTAGCTGGATTCTCTTCCCTGGCCAAGTCTCTGAGACTTCCTCCCAGGGTGATGCAAAGCTACTGGCTGTCTACCAGCTTGGGCCTGTCTGCACTGTCTCCTCTGGGACCTGCCAGACTGAGAACCTGTTTTCGCCTCTGAGGGGCTCCTGTCCCAGGACTCAGGTGGAGCCTGGGCCATGGTGCAGCTGGCTCCTGCTGCAGCCATGGACGAAGTCACCTTTAGAAGCGATACTGTGCTGTCGGACGTCCACCTCTACACCCCAAATCATAGACACCTCATGGTGCGGCTGAACAGTGTGGGGCAGCCAGGTAAGGTCCTGGGCCCAGGTGCCCTGCAGATCCTATTTTGTTTTCTGTTTTCTCATACCCATCTTTTTCGGGAAAGTATTGGGAAGACTGGATTATGTAACTGTTATCCTCAGACCGCTTCTGAAGTGCTTTTTCCTCTATTATTTTTTAAAAACCTTGTACTCTGCAATTTTTGTATGTGTGGGTTTGTTTTGCTTTTGTTTTGTTTGCTTTTTTTTAAAAGACAAGAGTCTCACTTGTCACCCAGTCTGGAGTGCAGTGGCACAGTCATGGCTCACTGCAGCCTCAAACTCCTGGACTGGAGTGATCCTCCTTCTCCTGCCTCCAGATTAGCTGGGACTACAGTCTTGCATCGCCACACCTGGCTGGTTTTTATTTAGTAGAGATGGAGTCTTACTGTGTTGGCCGGGCTGGTTTTGAATTCCTGGCCTGAAGCAACCCTCCCACCTTAGCCTCTTGAGTCCCTGGGATTACAGGCGAACTGCTGCGGGCCCCACTTTTGTTAAGCAAACCTGTGCTTTCCTTAGCACCTACTGTGTGCCCAGCCTAGGACTTGATGCTGGGAATACAGACGTGAATGAGCCAAGCTTTGCCCTGAGCAAGCCCAGGGTTCAGTGGGGAGACAGAGTGCTGGGGCTCCATCTGTCCTCTGCCTTTTTTTTTGAGACAGAATCTCACTGTCACCCAGGCTGGAGTGCAGTGGCCAAATCTCGGCTCACTGCAACCTTTGCCTCCTGGGTTCAAGCGACTCTCCTGGCTCAGCTCCTGAGTAGCTGGGATTACAGGCATCAGCCACCACACCCAGCTAATTTTTGTGTTTTTAGTAGAGATAGGGTTTCATCATGTTGGTCAGGCTGGTCTTGAACTTTTGACCTCGGGTGATCCACCCACCCCAGCCTCTCAAAGTGCTGGGATTACAGACGTGAGCCACGGCACCTGGCCCTCTCATCTATTCTTTATCCCCACTCCCTTTACCCTAGTCCAGCCACCTCCGTTCCTGGCCTGGCTGCCTGTCTTCCCCCATTGAGTTCACTGCTGCATACCTCTGCAGCAGCCCAGGGCATCTTTTGAAAATGCAGATCAAGTCACAGCACTTCCTGAGTTAGACCTCTAGTGGCTTTCCATTGCTCTCACAATAACATCCAGGTTCCTCAACTTGCTCTGTGAGGCCAGCCTGACAAGCCTCTGCCTGTGTGCTTACCCTTATGTCACTCTCCCTTGCTCTTCTTGGCCACTCAGCTTTTTTCTGTCCCTCGAACACAGGAAGAAGAGGGAAGCAACCATAAGATACAAGGTCAGGGAGGAAGCACCTACTTTCCTCCCCTCCCTGGCTCCTCAAGTATCATCTGCACAGACAGCCCCTCCCTGGCCACCCTGCCTAGCTCCAGTTACCCTGTATTAGCTTGTTAACGGTCTGATGATTAATCATTGCCCTCCTGCCCTAATTTGGATGGTACATTATACCTGGGGTCTGCAAACTACAGCCTGTGGGCCAAATCTGGCCTACAGCTATTTTTATAAAGTTTTATGACGCCACAGCCATGCCCATTCATTTCCGTGTTTTTACAGCTGCTTTTGTGCTATAACAACAGAGTTGAGGAGTCACAACAAAGATCACAGGGCCCGCAAAGCTTAAAATTGGATATAGTTTATGAGACAGCGTCTTATTCTGTCACCCAAGCTGGAGTGCAGTGGTGCAGTCTTGACTCACTACAGCCTCAACGTCCCCAGGCTCAGGTGATTCTCCCACCTCAGCCTCCTGAGTAGCTGGGACTACAAGCACATACTACCACACCCAGATAATTTTGTTGTAGACAAGGGGTTTCACCATGTTGCCCAGGCTGGTCTCAAATTCCTGGGTTCAAGAAATCCACCTGTCTTGGCCTCCCAAAATGCTGGAATTACAGGTGTGAGCCATCGTGCCCAGCCACAAAGTTCTTCATCTAATCTGTTACAGGAACAGTTTGCTTACCCCTGCCTTCCATGGTTGCCATATCTGTGTCACACAGAATGCAGTTTTCCTCTATTCCTGGCAGCTAACACCGTGTGGTGTAATGATCTCGTTTAATGTTTGTTCCCCAACTTCACTCTTAAAATGTAAGCCCCTAACAGAATCAGATTCTGCCTTGTACCCCCAGCACATAGCATGGTACTTGGCACGAAGTCAGTGTTCAGATGAACAGATGAGTGGATGAATGTGGACGGGTGGATGGATGACTGGACAGATCCAAAAATGGCGTAAGCCCGGGATGCTGTGGGAGGTTAGAGGAGAGCCCCCTAAGCTCAGTCCTGAAAGTTGTGTTGCCTTGATCAGCTCGTTTCTCTAAGATCAGTTTGTGGGTCTGTAAGATGACTCTGTCTTCACAGCAGTTGTGAAAAGTGAATGAGATGACGTGAGCCAAGTGCCTCATAGATTCTCATGAAATGGTGGCTGCTGTTAATGGCGGTCACAGCTGAATCATCCGGGCCTTTTCTGCTGACATTAATATATCCCTACCCGGCCTTTAAAAAGCTTCCGTGTTGGTAATCAGATAGTCTCAAAACAGAAGAGGAAGAAAAAAGAAAACACCTTGGAGTTCTCATTGTGTTTGTGTCTTGCCTTTCAGTTTTCCTCTCCCAGTTCAAGCTTCTCTGGAGCCAAGATTCTTGGACAGACTCAGGGGCCAAGAGTGGTGATCACAGAGAGATTCACACAAAGGAGCCTCCTCCTGCTGAGACGAGCAGCACAGGGTCCCCTCCAGGAAGTGACCACGGTAACGAGGGTTTCTCCCTCCAGGCCGGGGCTGACACCACTGGCCAGGAAGTGGCGGAAGCTCAGCTAGACGAGGATGGGGATTTGGACGTGGTGAGGAGACCACGAGCTGCCTCTGATTCCAGCCCAGCAGGGCCTCTGAGAGACAAGGTACATCCCATGATTCTAGCGCAGGAAGAAGACGACGTCGTGGGAGAGGAAGCACAAGGCAGCCCCCACGATATCATCAGAATAGGTAAATAGAGGTCTGGCTCACGTGTCCTTAAGGCAGCTCCACAGTATCGCTGCTCAGGGCTCGGTATGGTCTGAGTGTGGACTCTGCAGGCCCGGGCAGCACAAGTTGTCAGAACCAGCTTGGGTGAGGCTGGGGAAGCTCTCCACCACCCCGGTCACTCCTGCCCGGCTCACACCACAGCGTCACCCTCCTGTATGCTTTCTTGTCTGTGCTGTGCCTCCTTGCTAGAGTGCCTGCCCCCAGCCTCTGCTCCCTTAACAAGTTCCCCATTGCCTTACAGTTCCCAGCTCAGCCACACTCCTCCAGGAAGCCTCCCTCCTGCTGCCTCCTACATGTGTGCTCTGCTCTGACTCAGCATGTCAGGGGTGTAGGATAGGCTTGGCCTGGCTGGGCTGGCAGCAGGGTGCCATGGGAGGTCCTGGTGCTGCAGTGTGGCACAGGGAGAGGGGTGCAGGTCACAGTGAATGGGGTGTGGGCCAGTCGGATGGACTGGGAACTGGGAACTAGAAGCCAGGTGAGACAGGGGAGGTGATGAAGTGGCAGGAACGGGGACAGGAGAGAGGTTTGGACAGATACTCAGAGGTGAGATCAAAGAGGAACTGCCACCCAGGTATGGGGGCAGAGGAGAGGCATTTGCTGACTCTAGGATTTGAAATCTAGGGACCTGGCATCCTAGAAACACTGTGAGCAGTAGGGAGCTGGGCCAGGAACTGATTGGTGGTAGCTCAGCACACACTGTGTTGTGGATGTCTTCACCAGTATCACGTTGCGTAGTCTGCACAGCCCTTTCTAGGGGTGCTCGGATGACGAAGTGCCTAGTGCCGTGCAGCTTGGTGGTGGTGAGTGGGGTTCGAATCCATGCAGTCAGTGTCCACACCAGGGCTCTTGCCTCCCCCAGCGCTGCTCGTTTAGGGAGCAGAGCTGTGATTTGGGGCTGTTCATTGAGATCCAGGGTCCCTGGTAGTGTCTGAGTTACTGGGGAAAGGCCTCCCCAGGCACTGGCCTTGCTCAGAGAATGGGGGTCAGTGGGCCACTCTGAAAAACATAGACAAAACAGCAGCTCAGTATCTACCTGCTCAGCAAACAGTTACTGAGCGACTGTACAGTGCTACCAGGCAGCCTCTCTTCTAGACTGTCCCAGAGAGGGCAACGTGGAACTTACACCAGAACCCCGCTCCATGTTTCCTGTGGGTGACCTCTGCCCTCCTGGCCTCTGCAGGAAGGGATGAGTATACATTTCACAGAGGAACAGACCGAGGCTCAGCCAGATTGAGGAACTTGCCTGAGGTGACACAGCTAGTCAGGGAGAGAACTGAGACTCGTACCCAGGTCTGTCTGATGCCACACCCTGTGTTGTCATTCCACATCATGGGAGCAGAGCATTCAAAAGAGGCTTGGAAAGTCCTGTTGTTTCTCAGGGGAGCTGATGATGGCTCATTTCCCTCTGAGCCCTCACTGTATTAGCCTCCTCGAGCACGGGAGCAACTCTGTCAGTTACTCCACAGTAAATGTTGTCTCTAGTGTGTGTATGTTGAATGTTCCGGGTATCTACCATCCTATGAGTTAAGAAGAAAGTCCCTCTGGAAGGGGCCAGCCTGTGACCATCTTCTCCACCTGCCCTGTTCCGCTGACATCACCGTGAGGCCCTTCGTCTATAGACCTGGAAGTTCACTTTTTCAGCTCTCATTTGCTCCCCACCTGCCCTAAGGCAGGAGGGTGGAAAGGTAGCTAATGCATGAACCTAGGTAACTCATGATTATTTCAAACCGACTAGAGCACTTTCGTCCGCAAAACTTGATTTAATCCTGCAGGGCTGGATTTTGAGGCCAGTCCACCTTCACAAGCCATGACCAGAGACAAGTGTCTTACCCACTCAGAACCCTATAGGGCCAGGGGGACTACTCTCCCTGGGTTTTAGTGCCCGGTGAGTGCGAGGAGCAGGGCCTGGTGCAGAGTGGATGGTAAGCAGACGTCACTCTCCTCACCACTCTTTTCCTCTGACCCATAAACCATCCCATTTATTTCAAGTTATAGACCCATTTCAGAAACTGCTTTTTCTAAAGAAAAAGAAAAATACGTATTTTCTTAACTATTCCAGGGGTTTGACAAAACCTTAAAAGGTTTATCCAGGAATCTGCTAGGAATCCACAGACCCAGGATTCAAAGTAAATTATGTTCGATTTCCCCATTGTAGGGATAAACTGAGACCCCTTCAGAGAACTCAAGAGAGGCAGGGCTAGAACTCAGGCTGTCAGATTCTGAATCCCGTGCCTTCCTGCTGGAGAGTCGGGCAAGTCGCTTAGCCTGTCAGCTCAGTTTCTTTGTCTGTACAATGGGTACAATCTCCTCCAGTTTTGAAGAATTAAGAGGGAGGGTACATACAAAGCTCTTAGCATAGTGCCCAGCACAGATTCAGTGTTCCATAAATGTGAGTCTGACGTGGGGACCGGCCCAAGCTGGGAGAAGGGAGACTGGCTGAGGAAGAGTCTGGGTTCCTGCAGGTCTAGAGACACAATTTGCAAATGAGGTAAGGCATAATTCTAGAATCTGATAAGGACAGGTGAGATTCTAACACTTTCTTATCCCATTGCTAGCCCTGGAGTTTCTCATGGGTATAGTTCCTCAGCCTGGCCTTTTATGTTCTCAAGATATCTTTGGAATTATTTACATATAAACTCTGACTTTTCACAGGAGTGGGAACCACAAGATGGCCCTGGAGAGGGAGGTCCCTAAGTCACCTAGGCCTCTAACCCTAGACTGTGAATCCTCCCTCATCCCTACTCAGCCACCTGGACCATGCCTGGCCCAGGGCAGACGTACTGGGCATTTGTTGTGCTCTCTGATTATGCTGAGTCATGAAGAAGCATATTTCCCCATTCAAACACTATCGAGAGCCTGAAACAGGGCAGGGGTGGGGTGGATCTCAGAATGTCTGCACTCCAGACTCGAGGGTATCAGACACAGGAAAGGAGAGTGCCCTTGAGGTTGGCCACACTCGGCTTCCTGGGGAATTCGTTCTGGCTTTTTCCATCTGGTCCCAGAGAGCTGCACGGCACCTGCTGCTTCCTTTGATGCTTCCCTGAGCCTCTCGTTCTCTCCCGTGCCCATTTGCCTTCGGTCAGTTTTTGGTCAGACTCCCAAATGACTTCATTTTAAATCCTCTTTTGTTTCCGTTTGGCTTTGGAAAAACATGAGTCTCACTTTGTTCCCCAGGCTGGTCTCCAACTCCTGGCTTCAGGCGATTCTCCCACCTCAGCCTCCCAAAGTGTTGGGATGATAGGTGTGAGCCACTGTACCTGGCCATCTTGACACATTTTGATCTAATTAGATGTTTTTTTCTCAGACTAAAACCTTGTGCTGGTCATGTGCCCCCTCTGGGCTTCACTGACCTCCACCTGTGCAAGTGTCGGGGGCTTTGACCATCAGTGGGGTTTAGACGTTTGCCAAGCCTGTGCTCTCTCAGAAGCACTGTCTGGTTAAACCCAGTTACAGCCTCACAAATGAAGGATGGTGCTGCTTGTGCATTTTGCAGAAGAGGAAACTGGCTCTGTCTTCCAGAAGTGAAGTGACTCATCACCCAACTAGGAAATGACAAAACTGGGTTCTCATGCAGGTCTCTGACCTCAGGGTCCTCATTCTCTCTTTAGGGAAGCTGGCCACCCCTTGAGAACAGCTGTGAGGCAGAACTTACATCCATGAGACCCCTGGAAGGAAGTGATCAATCACATGGGACTAAAATCACTATAGAAAGGGTCCCCTGGCAGCAGGAGCCCTCAGGGCAGCTGGGGTTAGGGAGCAGATGGTGAGGAGGGAGCTTTTCTAGGAAGATGGAGGGAGATGAGAGGAGAAGAGGCTATGAGCCACACCCAGGAGATGGCGTGGGCAGGACTGGGGAAGAGGAAATGAGCAGGGACCCGTAATGGGGCTGTACACCACAGACACCCCTTTCCCTCCATGCACAAGCACGCAAGCCTTCAGCCTGCCAAGTGAGTCCCCCTGCCTTTCATCCTGGGAGGCTCTACCCCAAGCTTTTTAAACCATGTCCCTACCCTGGTTCAGATTCTGCATCTCTCTCCCGTGAGTGGGCTGAAGAGCCAGAAAAGGCCGTGCACAGTGGCACACACCTGTGATCCCACTTTGGGGGACCAAAACAGTGGATCACTCGAGCCCAGGGGTTTGTGACCAGCCCTGGCCACATCCTGAGACCCTATCTCTACAAGAACTATAAAACTAAAAAAAATTTAGCCTGGCCTGGAGGCACACACCTGTAGCCCCAGCTACTCGGGAGGCTCAGGTGACAGGATCACTTGAACCTGGGAGGTGGAGGCTACACTGAGCCTTGGCCATGCCACCACACTCCAGCCTAGGTGACAGAGTAAGACCCTGTCAAAAAGAGCCAGAAACCTGCAGGCAACCTGACTTGGAACCCCGCATCTGCCACTCACCCCCTCTGTGACCCACACGACCTGCCAACCTTCGCTGCCACATTTTCCTCGTCTTTAACCCAACACCCCAGCCTGTCATTGGGCAATTTCGTGGATTAAATGAGAAAGTATTTAGCACAATGTCTCACATAGAGAAGGTGCTTTTTGTTTCTATTAACTTTACAAACAGTACTGCTGAGCTTCAGTCAGTGTCTTCATCTGTAAAATACATGTGAGCCAGTCAAGTAGAATCCCAGTGGCACGCAGGCCTGCCTCACAGAATGTGTCTATCTAGTGAATGCTGGTTCAGTGAAGAAACTTGGCGTCACATGGCTCGGCGGGTATGGTTCTGTTCCAGATTCAAACCAGGTGACTACGTGTTAGGCCATAGCAACCTGAAGCCCTTCTGAAAACATGTTTTATTGAAAGTACCTTCGAAGCCACCGTGTCACATCTAGCCAAGATGCTGGTGGATGATGCATTAGTCACTTTTTCAGAGATAAGATTCTAACTCTGCCCATAGGGCTGAAATCTTTGGCCCAATTTTCCCAGGAGGAGTCCCCAGAGAACATTGGCCCAGGTGCCCAAGAGGACCCCACACAGTCATTTTCTCTCTTGGTTTGGTGACAGACAGAGCACTTGGCTATAGCCATTACTGTCTCACTTAAAAATACTTGGGCAAGTTATTTTTCCCCCCACCAGGAGCTCTTAGATGAGCAGGTTCTTATTTAACAGCAAAAGTTCTGCTTCATTCCTTTTCTTCTTGATCTGTTTCCATTCTCTTCTCCCAACCACCAGAATTTGATCCTAATGTATTTTACACTTGAGAATACTTACAATGCTAACTTATACTACTTTCAACTTTTTAAAAAAAGATGTAAATTTAAACTTATTTTGTTAACTTCTAATGTAGAAGTTAAGTATATTTCTAAGACAATAATGACATTAAGTATGCTTCTAAGAAAATACTTTTGAATGAGTTGTGATTGTTAGTAGTATATAAATAAACATAATGATTATAAATTTGCAGTTCTTGGCCATTGAAAAAGTAGAGTGCACTGCATGTGTGTGTAATTAAATTGGGTGAAAACCTAACTGAGACCCTCCCTAGACTTGGGCTGTGGGCAGATACCCAGGTACATGAAAGAATGTGAGCCTCAGCTCCTGGCCTCTGAGTGGTGCTCGAAGGTCACCTCCCAACTGGTAGCACAGCCTTCTGCTGCTCTCTAGACCCCCTGATTCCAACCTCTGACACCCATCTGACCATGTTGGCGGGTTGCCGCACAGCCCTCCCTTGTGGTTTGTCTGTCCCTCCCCATTTCACAGTGGGCATCTCTCTTGGTTTCTGTCCCATCCAGAGCACACCATGGCCACGCCCCTGGAGGATGTTGGCAAGCAGGTGGGTAGGTCCCGTCTACTTCCCGTGGCCCTGACAGGTCTCTGCAGAGCCTCACGCTGCTTGTCACTCCTTGTCCTCCTCCCTCCAGGTGTGGCGGGGCGCCCTCCTCCTGGCGGACTACATCCTGTTCCGACAGGACCTCTTCAGAGGATGCACGGCGCTGGAGCTCGGGGCAGGCACCGGACTCGCTAGCATCATCGCAGCCACTATGGCACGGACCGTTTATTGTACAGGTAACGAGGTGACATCTCAGGCTGCGGGGAATTAGTCACCTTTGCAAAGTGTGCATTGACTATGAAAAGGCAGAGGTACAGGAGATTGGATGTTAGCTGCTGTTGATTTTGCCATCCTGGTCCCCTGGCCATCTTCACTCACCACTTCTTCTCAGTGACATCAGAATGACCCACCAATCTTGAGTCAGTGGCAGCAGCATCACCCAACCACTCTAAGGCCATTGAGCTTCAGGAGGTGCCTCGCACCCCTACTGGTACCTCTTTCCCCGCTCCTGAGAAAGAGCAAATATCTCTAAAAACCGGAGGAAGACACCCTTTTAGAAGGCTTTGAAAACAAGTTTATTATTTTTTTTTCCTGATTACAGAAGGCTTGCCTGTTCTTTGTCGATTTTCAAAACAGCAAATAAAAATTAGTCATAATTTTACAATCCCTAGATTGAGTCAACATGAAATTTATTGGGCACCTCCTATGTGCCACGCAATTCTAGATGCAGGAGGCCCGGCAGCGAATGGAGCTGACCAGGCACTGCCCTCAGGGCAGTTGTGTTGTAAGAATCTCCTGCAAATAATAGCCAGAATCAAACTACAGCAGCGCTGTATCCTGCTGAAAATGTTGAGAAATATTTTTTGCAAGCATTTTCTTTTTTAAATTTTTATGTATTTAGGGGGTACAAGTGCAGATTTCTTATGTGCAGCTGTATTACAGTGATGACATCCGGGCTTTTAGTGGACTCATCACTCACATACTGAACTTTGTACCCAACAGGGAAGTTTTAACCCCCCATGCCTCCCACCATGCCACCTTCTAGAGTCCCCAGTGTCTGTGAGTCCACTCAGTATGTCTTTGTATACTCATTGTTAAGCTTCCACTCATATGTGAGAACATTTTCAGAGCATTTTCTCATGCCATTAAAAAATTGTTATATGGGCCGGGTGCAGTGGCTCATATCTGTAACCCCAGCACTTTGGGAGGTTGGGGCGGGTGGATCACCTGAGGTCAGGAGTTCGAGACACCCTGGCCAACATGGTGAAACCCTGTCCCTACTAAAAATCCAAAAATTAGTCCGTTATGGTGGTGGCAGGCGCCTGTAATCCCAGCTGCTGGGAGGCTTGAACCCAGAAGCAGAGGTTGCAGTGAGCTGAGCCTGTACTACTGCACTGCAGCCCGGTCAACAGAGCAAGACTCTGTCTCAAAAGGAAAAAAGAGAGCGTGTGTGTGTGTGTGTGTGTGTGTGTGTTCTTTTAATGACCAGGTAATATCTCATCTTTTTTGTAACCCTTCTATTGCTGAACATTTTGGCCATTCCTATAGGGTTTCTTTTTGTGTTTGTCAGTTACACTGCACTGAACATCTTTGTATATTGTCTAATAATCTGTCAAGTAGGTTCATAGAAGTGGGTGGTGTTAGTTAACACTGCAGTGAACATCTTTGTATATTGTCTAATAACCTGTTGCCTAGGTTTCTAAAAGTGGGTCAGACTATTAAAGGTTTTGATACACATTACCAACTAATTTCTTTTTTAGTACTTAATTTTGAAATAATTTCAGACTTATAGAGAGTCGTTTAAGTAATCCAGCAAGTGCCATGTCCCCTTCCTCTGGCTCCCGAAGAGTGACATCACACACAACCATGGTACAGTGATCTGTACTATGCCATCTATTTTAAATCTTTAATATCTGCTGGACAGAAAGAGGTACCAGCTGATGTGGTTTATACCTCGTTGCTTCCTAGTGAATGTTTCTGGCACAGACTGTTGTTTCTGAGATAGGAAGGAAGAAGCTAGAGCTCACCAGTCCCTGAGGCAGTTTTCAGATATACCGAATTAACCACTGGTCAGGAGTCCGCAGTGCAGCCACGCTATTGGCTGCTTCTTGACAATGTCGTGTAAATTATCAGTGAGCACTTCTCAGCGCCAAGCCATCCGAGAGCTTTGCTTCATGCCTGGTGCCTAATAGCAGGGTATAAAGAACTCTTATCCCTGAGAGAGATTTAGCAGCATGGGGAAGAAAGCTTGCATTTAGTTGCCATGTTCCAGTTGGACAAGTCCTTTCAGACACATCAGTGCCTGGCTGTCACTTCACAGTGACCCTGGACAGAGCCAGGGAGCCTGTTCCTATCTATGTTGTCCAAATGGGCAGACTGAGGCTAAGGTTAAACAGCTGGCCCGAGGTCATCCGCAGTTGCTGACGAGACTGAGGCTCTCGATGTGGACCTGCGGGCTCACAGGGCAGTGTCCTTTTCAGGTGGTGGGATTTCAGATTGTGTTTCGTGGAACAGAGCTCCCATCAACTGGCCAAGTGTTGCTGGGGAAACTGCACTCAGGACACTGGGGCTCCTACCCCACTCAGCCAGAGCTGCTCCTCTCTTATCTGTTTTATGTGTTAGAAGCTTTTGACAGAAACTATCATAAAGGTTTAAAAACTGCTGAGCCGAATGGCCGGATGCGGTGGCTCAAGCCTGTAATCCCAGCACTTTGGGAGGCCGAGGCGGGTGGATCACGAGGTCAAGAGATCGAGACCATCCTGGTCAACATGGTGAAACCCCATCTCTACTAAAATACAAAAAAAATTAGCTGGGCATGGTGGCACGTGCCTGTAATCCCAGCTACTCAGGAGGCTGAGGCGGGAGAATTGCCTGAACCCAGGAGACGGAGGTTGCGGTGAGCCGAGATCGCGCCATTGCACTCCAGCCTGGGTAACAAGAGTGAAACTCCGTCTCAAAAAAAAAAAAAAAAAAAAAAAAAACTGCTGAGCCTGGCCAGGCACGGTGGCTCACACCTGTAATCCCAGCAGTTTGGGAAGCTGAGGCTGGTGGGTCACCTGAGGTCAGAAGTTCAAGACCAGCTTGGCCAACATAGTGAAACTCTATCTGTACTTTAAAAAAAAAAAAAAAAAGGCAGCATGGTGGTGCACCATGCTACTTAGGAGGCTGAGGCAGGAGAATTGCCTGAACCTGGAAGGTGGAGGTTGCAGAGAGCCGAGATCCCACCACTCCACTCCAGCCTTGGCAACAAGAGCAAAACTCCATTTCAAAAAAAAGAATCAAAGAAAAAAAAAAACTGCCGAGCCCATCGTGTACTGTCAGGCACACACCATCAATATTCTCTCAACCAAGGGTCAGGGTAGATCCCTCCCTTCTGCGAGCAGGGAGCTCCTCCCTACACGGCTCTGTGTGACCCCTGGGGTGCAGACTTTAGTCCCAGCGAGTTTGCAGTCGATGGGGGAGTCCACGCTGACAGTGGACGGAGCACATGTCATTAACAAGATATCCTGTACTTCCTACACACACATTTTTCTAATTAGAAATTGATTTTTGGTAAAGCACTGCTTCCCCTAGTGAGGATTCACCGTACTATAAGTCAGTTCTTGAAATGATGAGAAGTCCCACTCAGAGAAGCACGCAGCTGGGACGGAGATCTGGGCAGCAGCAGAGTCACACTCGAGTGTGGGCTCAGCCTCTTCGAATCTGCCCTGTGTCCTGATGAATCATAAGAAAACATCCTTCTGACCCCAAAACTGGTCCAGTCAGTTTTCCTAGGGTGTCCACGAACGAGCCTAAATTTGAAGTTAGAGAAACCTGGATTCAAATCCCAACTCTTGCTCTTACTAGCTATATGACTTCGCTCAAGTCACTTAATCTGTGAAATGGGATTCATGATCCTGGCTCCTGCGTGGTTATAAACGTGGAAAGGATGAAGCAGGGAAAATGCATGCGTGGTTTATACGCTGGGACGGTGTTGGGAGCTCGCACTCCTTCCCTCTGGAATACACACTGTCTCTCCCCATCAGGATGAGAATCTCTTATTTAGGGAACAAGCCAATGAAAAGAGCCTTAAGGTGAGTGTATTTAATTTTGGCAGTAAGACACACAGGAGAAACGTTTCTCTAATTTCTGCAGTTGTGCTATTGATAACAGTTCTCTCCAGGCAAAAACATGGAGATGAAAGCATCGTAACAGCCGGCGCTTTATGGCTTGCCCTCTGTCATTCCAGATGTCGGTGCAGATCTCTTGGCCATGTGCCAGCGAAACATTGCCCTCAACAGCCACCTGGCTGCCGCTGGAGGTGAGGCCCACAGGGTCTTCTGCCGGGGAGGGAGGTTTCTCTGTTTGGCAGGTGGGACAGACACCCAAGACCATGACATTGGGAGGCAGGGCTCCACCTGTGTCCCTTGTACCAGGTGAGTAAAGGGAGCAGACATCATCTGGCCTTCACAGAGCTTCAGAGCATCGAAGGCTCTCCTTGGGTCACCTCCTCATTCCCACATTCACCACATCATCCTGTTCCAGCTCTTTCTCTCCCAGACACTGGAAGTGGCCCCCCAGCTAGTTTCCCCAGCTGCTTCTTGGACCTGGGCAAGCCTTCCTCATGTAACATCCATAGTGACCTTTCTCAGATGCAAGCCTGTCTCCTCTTCCTGCTGAAAACCTTCCGGGGCATCATCATCCATGGAATTCCCAGGCCTCCCTGGCCCAGCCCCCGCCTGCTTTCGCTGCCTCTTCCTGTCTCCTGTCCAGCCCTGCATCCAGCACGGCCAGGAGTGACTCATTTCACAGGCTCATCCCTCTGCCCGGATGGACCCCCACCCCCATCTGCCTGGTCATCTGCTCCCTGCACAGCCTGCAGGAATGAGTGTATGTGATGGGTGACGACAGTTACATCCTAACTGGGCTGTCCATCCAGCCTTTCTTCCTCCGAGCAGCCTCAAGTGGTTTCCCGTTGCTCGTGTTGTCTTCTGGGGGATCTGACCCCTGCCTGTCTGTAGCCTCCCCCGCCCAGCTGTCTTCACCATCTTTCAGATCACTTTGCTTCAAGTCCTCTGCCCTTGCTCTTCCCTCCCTATGAGTGCTCTGCCCTCCCTGCTCCTCCTGGCAAGTCCTCATCATGCTCAGGGCTCCAGACCTTCAGATTTGAGGCCAGGGCCCCCAGCAGACTCCAGGAACACCTTGCACAATTGCATTTTAACTTCTGCTTGTGTGACTGATGGTGTTTTCCATTCCCACCAGACTACATATTGGTGCAGGTACCCCATCTGTGTTTGCTCTCCACTGTCACAATATTTGTTAGTGCTCAGGCTACAGTAGGCAGTCAGCAGAGATTGGAAGGAGGGAGGGAGCGTGCTGGTGGACGCCTTCCCTGACACCCACTGTCTGACACAGTTTCCTCTCTGTCCTCCTGTGCATTGGCCTCATCCTGCAGACATCACCCAGCCACACAGTCTTGCCATTGTCAGTTAGCCCTCCAGTCCTCGCTAAGGGAGCTGGTCCATAAGGATGGGGAGCATGGCTCTTCAATCTTTATTTTTTCTGTGTCTGGCAGAGTCCTTGACACTTAGCACTCAAAAAATGCCGGAAGGGTGGACAGATGAATGGAGGGAAGGGACAGAGGGTAGATGATGGATGAGAAAGAAGGAGGGAGGATAACAAGGATGGGCAGGTGGATGGGTGAGAAGGTAAAGGCCAGATAGATAGGTAGATAAGAGGGTGGGTAGGTGGGTGGGACGATGAATGGGAAGGAAGGAAAGAGGGAAGGAAGGTGGGTGGGTGTATGGATGAATACATGGAAGGACAGGAAGATGGGCAGACGGATGGATGGATGGACGGGTGGGTGGGTGGGTGGATGGATAGATGGAAGGGCAGGAAGATGGACGATGGATGAATGGATGGATGGATGGATAGACAAAAGGGCAGGAAGATGGACGGACAGATAGATGGAAGGGCAGGAAGATGGATGGATGGATGGTTAGATGGATAGATGGAAGGGCAGGAAGATGGATGGATGGTCGGATGGATAGATGGAAGGGCAGGAAGATGGGCGGGTGGGTGAATGGATAGGTGAGAAGATGGATGGTTGAGAGAGAAGGTAGGTGGGTGGATAGATGGATCTCGGTATATAGTGTAAAAGTTTGTCTTTTTTCCTAATTATGTTTAGAGTTTGGAGGGTTCTCTTTGTGTTGTTTTTACAGGTGGTGTAGTTAAGGTCAAAGAACTGGACTGGCTGAAGGACGACCTCTGCACAGGTGTGTTTCCCTCTGACGTCCCCCAGTATGATTCAGTGGTTCCTTTGTAATACCTCAGTGCCCTGGCTCTGTGGCCTTGATGGAGCTGTAGCCCCAGCTGCTACTGCAGTCCCACCAGTGTGTGGCAGGTTCTCTCCACTGGCCGATGGCATTAGCTGTCATTCTCTGCGTGCCTGCTGCATGCTGGGAACCTCATACTCACTTTGATCTTCAGGTCTTGTGGTTTCTCTGTGTGATAGCATGATAGTCCCTGAATCGTAAATGCAGACTACCCACGGGCACAGCTGGTATGCAGCAGGGTAGGGGCGTGGACCCGAGTCTGTCAGACTCTGGGGCATGGACCATTTCCCAACAAACGGCAGTTCCAGGAAGCCCCCAGGGTAAAAGACTTGCCCGTATTTGTTACACAGAATACTTCAGACCTGGGTGCTTGCTCTTTCTTTATATAAAAATGTCTTTTTTTCCCCTGTCAGATGGCAGATGGGGAAAATCATTTCTTGAGTACGGGTCACCTGCCTAGCACTTTGCCCATCGCAGGCCCTTGGGCCCTCCCAATAGTCCTGTGAGGGAAGTAGTACTGAGCTCTTTCTGTAAGTGTGAAACTGAAGCTGTTTTCCTCGGCCATCCAGCAGGCAGATGGGGCAGATTCGGTCCTGCACTGGGCAACAGGCCAAGGCAGCAGGTGAGGCTGAAATCCACCCGCTGCTCACTGGCCAGAGCGGACACTCAGCAGAAAAGGCATCTCTTCCACCATTACTCTGCAGCCAGGCAGCACTGGCCTGAAGCAGGGAATCTTGTCTGCCTGACGGTGCCCACTGCACTGAGCTACCCCCAGCCCTGTTTCTTCTTCTGAAGCGACTTTTTGTCAGTCCCAGTGAGAGTTGGTGGCCAGGAGAGAAAGCAGCGAACACAAAATGTGCTTTTCTTCTTTGTCAGATCCTGAGGTCCCCTTCAGTTGGTCACAAGAGGAAATTTCTGACTTGTACGATCACGCCACCATCCTGTTTGCAGCCGAAGGTAAGAAAATTTCTCCTTCTCCTTACATGTCCTTTGTCACAGCATGAAGTCAAGTACAGTCTCCTCACCTCCCCCCGGAGTTCCATTTTCTAAGAGACTTTCCAGGAGATGCCACCATGTCTGTGTGTGGTTTTCATTCTCGGAGCTGCTGCTGTTGGGTGGTGAGAAGCATTTTCTCTGTGTGTATGTCCCTGAAAAGTCGATTTCTCTAATATTTGCATGTTTTCCCCTAATGTTGGCCTTTTTGCTTCCCACAGTGTTTTACGACGATGACTTGACTGATGCTGTGTTTAAAACACTCTCCCGACTTGCCCATAGATTGAAAAATGCCTGCACGGCCATCCTGTCGGTGGAGAAGAGGTGAGCTTTGCGCCATCGGGACCGCACCGGGCGTCCCACGTGTCAGCGGAACTCTCACCTCCTAATTGCGTCCTTCTCAGCGTCCTCATGATTGTTACTCATTGCCGCTTTTTGAGCACCTACCGTGTGCCAGGCCTGTTACTCAGCGCTACTTCTTGAGCACCTACTGTGTGCCAGGCCTGTGCTCCGCCTCTGTGTCCGTTACCGCACTGAATCCGCATGCTAGCCCTGCGTGCACGCGCTGCTGTCCCTTTACAGATGAAGAGAGGAAGGCTGGGAAACATCAGGGCCCTTGCTCAGGGCACAGGTAGTTAGCGATAGACCACGACTTGAATGCCGACTGCACTGAGCCTCAGCGCGTGGCCAGCACACTGTCTAGAGCTGGCCAGCACACTGTCTAGAGCTTCTCTTCCTGAATGTTCTCGCTCTCTGTGGTGCCGTCTGTCTCTTCAGCTCCCTCAGGTCTCTTTGTCTTACTGATGCAGACAGCTCTTCACCCAACAGCCTCTCCAAGACATTTCCACTTGAATATCCTAAAATGTTTGGTTCCGTTTATTGAGTGCCCACCGTGTGATAGCTACACACATTTTCCTCTAATATTTAAGAGTAGTCCACAGCTTTTCTGAAGATAGTTTGGAATCCATAGCAAAAGCTGTAAAACTAAAGAGACTTCTTCACCCAGCAGTGCAGCATGTGGAAATTCACCCTGTGGAAATGCTCATGGTTATGTACAAAGCTGTATGTACTAGCCCATTTACTGCAGTATTGTTTATACCAGTAATACCGAGGGCTTGCTTTGAGGCACGTTGAGTAATAGCAATGTACAGACCTCATTTGGATCCTGATTTTATAAACTGTAAAGGAAAAAAAGCGGACAGTTGGGTAAAGTTGGATACTGAATATTTGATGTAAAAGGATTATTGTTAAACTTTAGTTGAAAAGGTCTCCATCTTTTTGAGACACACACTGACATTTGCAACTTCATAGAGGAAATGGGATGATGTCTGGCCTTTGCTGTTTAATAATTCAGTGGAGGGAGGGGGCCCCGGGAAGAGCCACGGTGGCAGAGTGGCTGAAAGTGGACAGTGGCTGAAGCTGGGAATGGGGTTCATTAGACTGTTCCTTTTTTCTTTTCGGATACGGAGTCTCACTTTGTTGCCCAGGCTGGAGTGCAGTGGTGCAATCTCAGCTCACTGCAAGCTGTGCCTACCAGGTTCAAGCAACTCTCCTGCCTCAGCCTCCCTAGTAGCTGGGATTACAGCTGTGTGCTGCCATGCCTGGCTAATTTTTGTATTTTAAGTAGAGATGGGGTTTCACCATGTTGGCCAGGCTGGACTCAAACTCCTGACCTCAGGTGATCCGCCTGCCTCAGCCTCCCTCGGTGCTGGGATTACAGGCAGGAGCCACTGCGCCCGGCATAGACTGTTCTTACTCCTTTTACATGTCTGAAATTTATCTTAATAAAAAATTTTGTAAAGAAAAAGGAAAAGTGCTTGAATTTGAAGTTAAGTCATCTTGTAGACTGAGGTTTTGAAAGGCAGATGGCAGGGTTGGGAGGCCTGTTTCTGAAGGTACTCAGTCTCTGAAATCTCTCAGACCACCAACTGCCCGGCAGTTTGATCTCTGTTCTCTGTGCTCACAGAGTCCTCTGCACCGCCCACTGCCATGCCTCTCATTCATTCGTTTCACAAATAATTACACAACAGCTCCAGGCACTGGATTCTGTGCTGGGTGCAGCCGGGACATGGAGAGCTATCCTCAAGTGTGAATCTGCATCTGCCTCTTACACCAGTCCTAGCTCCTCAGAGGAGCTTTATCTTCATCATTCCCGCGATGTCATTGTGGATACATGACTTCAGCGTTGTGAGCCTCAGTTTCCACGTCTATAAAGGGCGAGTCGTTTCCACCTCCCAGGCTATTATGCGGCTGTAGGAAGGAATTGCCCTCAAACACACAGCATGAGACAGGCACTCAGTAAAAGTCCATCCAGGGGATATGAGATCAGTGAGGGACAGGAAAGACACGTGGGCGGAAACAGCAAAACCCTTCCTGGTGATGACGGCAGTTTGTGTGTTGGCTGGCTGGTTTGCAGGCTCAACTTCACACTGAGACACTTGGACGTCACGTGTGAAGCGTACGATCACTTCCGCTCCTGCCTGCGTGCACTGGAGCGGCTCAGGGATGGCAACCTGCGTTTCGTGGTGGAGCCCGTCGAGGCCTCCTTCCCGCAGCTCCTGCTTTACGAGCGCATCCGGCAGCTGGTAGGTCTGGGCCCCTAAGCAGGGCTGTTGGTTGCTTTATAGGGAAGCAGGTACTCCTGGGCAAAGGAGGTGATGAAGCAAACCCTCCAAGCTTAGGCCCCACCCTAGGTCCTGCAGGGAGTGAATGAAGCCTGCATGCCGGGCACCCTCTGTAGTGGGACCCGTTGAAGGAGCTGCGTTCTGTGTGAGCAGCCACCGTGTCTGGAGGTGAGCCTATGGGCAAACCTTAACTTTCTTCTTTGTAGCACACTTTCCCCCATGGGCAGTTCAGACTCCAGAGAAGGCAAGACTGAGACAGAGGTTGTTTGGGGAACAGAAAGTCAGTGGAGGGGAAGTTGGTGGGTTCCAGAGCTTGGTGCAGGGACCCTGCTGTGGTAGCTTCTCGTCACGTCTTCAGTGTGGATATATACCGGCCTCTTGGTCTGAACAGGCTTTTCTGTTACTGGAGTGCGAAGATAGAGAATTAACTTCTTTTTTTTCTGTTTGCCTTTTGCCTGCGGCCTCCCTTTGTGGCCTCCCTTTCTCTGTGGCCTCCCTTTGTCGGTGTCTTCAGAAACTCAGGCCTGGTTCTAAGGAAAAGGGGAGGAAGGGAGTCGTGAGGGGCTGCCACCCTGGTGCCCTACCTCGTGTCCTGAGCACGGGCAGCGTGGAATTCGTGTGGTTTTGTGTGCGAGGGGGATCTTGTATTTATTTCTCTGCCACTTCTGGGCAGCAGTAAGAGCAGCATCACATGACCAAGAACACACACTTCTTACAAATCAGCAGCCCCACTACATGATGCCTAGGACGTCCCAAAAAGGCCAGGTGTGGTGGTTCCGATCTGTAATCCCAGCACTCTGGGAGGCTGAGGTCGGAGGGTTGCTGGAGGTCGGAGGGTTGCTAGAGGCCAGGAGTTCAAGACCAGCCTGGGCAACATAGATCCCATCTCTTCAAAAATAAAAAAAATAAAATAAATAAAAAAAAATTAGCCAGGCATGGCAGTGCACACCTGTGGTCCCAGCTCCTCTGGAGTTCAGAAGTTCAAGGCTGCAATGAGCGGTAATGGTGTGTGCCACCGCACTTCAGCCTGGGCAACAGTGTGAGTTCCTGTCTCTAAAGTAAAATTGTATATAAAGGTCTCCCCCAAAATGGAGAGATTGTGTCGACTGACTGCCGTTCTGGTCTCTTGATTGTGTGACGCCCTCTGATGCCCCTTCCGTTAATCCCGGAACTTCATCCATCTAGTCTCTCTGCTGCAGTCAAGCAACAGCCCAAAGCAGCAAAGAAAGGAGGAAGCCGCCCGGTCACTCTGCCCTAGCTCACCTGCTCCGTGGTTGGCATGTTGTCTAACTACTCTGCTTAGCCGATCACGTTCCTTCATGAAATTGTCATGGTTTTTTACGTGCATGTCAGGAACCTGTTCTTTTCTGTTTGCTGCAGGAGCTCTGGAAGATTGTTGCAGAACCAGTAACATGACCCATTGCTTCCACAAGGCACGGCATCTTGACTGTTCTTATAGTAGATTTCTATTAAAATCAGAAGCTCACCAAAGCAACATGCTTGAGATTTGTCATTTTTAAAATATGGTTACATGGACTTTAGATGACCCAAGGTGGTTTTCTAGGGTCTGTCCCTGCCTCCCAGTCGAAGCCAGAGAAGGTTGTTGCTGTGGGATGGGGGGTCCCCTTAGTTACCTGTTTCTCATGCTCATAATGTGGGCTCCAGGGTCAGGCTGAGCAAAGTTGGTTCTCAGCTCAATTCCACCCAACTCAGTCATTTCATCTCTGCCATTCACTTGGGGTTGTGGCCCTGGCTGTGAAGTGGATTCTTGTACTGCCCTCTATTGCTGTTTACAGCTGGGTTAACTACCATTTCCACAGTTGCCATCATATCACCTCTCGGCACAAAAGCCTCATTTCCTCCAGTGAAGGCCCCAGGAGGAGAGGAAGGGGCAGGAGCTGGTGCCAGGAGTGGACTGGCATTGTCCTTTGTATTTCATTTTAACTCTTTATAGCCCAAATCAGGTATGTTTAGAATAAGCCTAGGAGCCACTCTTTGGGGTCACATGCAGCCGACTGGGGTTTGGGCAGTGATCTTCCTCAGAGGTGTTCCCTTCAGCCTGCGCTCATTTTCCCTCTACCCCTTCCGTCTTAAATCACGTGTGCATGTGTCTGTCTGTTTTTTTTTTAATCTTCTCCACCTGTGACTGTCTTCTCCATCCCCACCCCTTCCTGTCATCCTCTATGTCCCGCTGTGTCTCTCCTTCTCTCCAGTTTTGGTGCCGTGTTCCTGCTACCCTTGGCCTTCCCTGCATCCCCTTTTCCCTGCCTTGCTCCTGCTGCGTTCTGCACCAGGGCCTGGCCCGGCCCCATCCCACCTTCCCTCGCAGCTCAGGTTTCCTGGCTTCTCCATGCACCGTCCCTGCCCACGCTCTCCCAAGCACCCAGGTTTCGTCCCCAGGGCCCATCATACCCCTGGCACGCGCGAATTCCTGACATCAAGGGCCAGGCACTTGCAAGTCTAACTTGATTTCATCTTCCCAACAAATTTAGGAGGTCACATTACAGTGGAGAAGACTGAGGTCCATGCAGAAAGCAGTCTCCATGAGGTCAGAGACCTTGTTTGTCTTAAATATCACGACATCCCTGGGGTATGGTTTGGCAAACATTAGATGCTGAGCACATATTGCTGAATGATTTACTAATGAAAGTTACGAATTAGGGCATTACTTCCTATATGTGAGTGATGTTGCCTCCAGGAACACTTGGCAATGTCTGGAGACATTTTTGGTGGTCACAAGCAGGGGAGATGGGTGCCACCCGCATCCAGCGGGTGAGGCCAGGGATGCTGCTCCACACCCTATAATGCGGTAAGGCATGGAACAGCACCCACAACACAAAATGTTCCAGCCCAAAATGTGACTGGTGCCATGGCAGAGAAATCCTGACTTGGAAGAAGAAAGCCAACTACTTCAGGGAAGAAAGATGGGTCTCAGCTGAACCTGTAGTGCAGAGCATGCAGGTGACCCTCACCCTGCCCCTCTGGGAGCAAGAAGAAAACCTACACGTGTACATTACCATAAAGCTTCCAAAGAACCTACAGGGCAGAAGTGATCCCTATTTTATGTATGAGAAATCCAAAATTCAGAGAGGTTAAGCAACTTGCCCAACATCACACAGCCACTAAGGGATAAGTCAGGTTGAAAGCTCATGTCCACCCATGTCCATCTGACTGCTAGGCCTGTGCTTTTCCCACATTCCCACTGTGTAGTCCCTGGACCAGGAGCAGCGTCTGTGGCGGCACCTTCATACTGGTTGGAAATGCAGCATGAGACTGGGCGTGTTGGCTCACTCCTGCAGTCCTAATACTTTGGGAGGCCAAGGCAGGGGATCATTTGAAGCCAGGAGTTCAACCCGCCTGGACAACACAGCAAGACCCCATCTCTACCAAAAATTAGACAATTAGCTTTGCATGGTGGTGTGTGCCTGTAATCCACCTACTTGGGAGGCTGAGGCAGGAGAATTGCTTGAAGCTGGGAGATGAACATTGCAGTGAGCCAAGATCGTGCCACTGCACTCTAGCCTGGGTGACAGAGTGAGACTCTGCCTAAAAAAAAAAAAGAAAATTAAAAAGCCACATAATGGTCTGGGCGTGGTGGCTGACGCCTGTAATCCCAGCACTTTGGGAGGCCGAAGCAGGTGGATCACCTGAAGTCAGGAGTTCAAGACCAGACTGGCCAATATGGTGAAACCTTGCCTCTACTAAAAATGCAGTATCAGCTGGGTGTTCTGGTGCATGCCTATAATCCCATCTACTTGAGAGACTAAGGCAGGAGAATCACTTGAACCAGGAGGCAGAGGTTGCAGTGAGCCGAGATCATGCCATTGCACTCTAGCCTGGCCAACAAGAGCAAAACTCCGTCCAAAAAAAAAAAAAAAAGCCAGGCATAGTGGCACACACCTGTACTCCCAGCTGCTCAGGAGGCAAGATGAGAGGTTTGCTTGAGCCTAAGAATTTGAGGCTACAGTGAGCCATGTCTGCACCGTTGCACTCTGGCCTGAGCAAGAGAGAGAGAGATCCTATCTCCAAAAAAGAAAAAAATCATCAGGCCTTAGCTCAGGACCTATCTGATTCCGAATCTGCATCTTGACAAGACACCAGGTGATCTGTTTGAATAGTAGTTTGGGAAGCTCTGGGGCATACCACATAACCCTATTGCCCCAACCTATTGCTGTTTTCTAAAATTCCTGCACAAACCCCCTTCCTGATAGACTTGCCGTAATGGAGCAGAGTTGCAGATCACGACAGGGAATATTAATAATGAGTCTGCACGTCAGAACCGCACTAGACACAGCCCCCAGCTGGCAGTACATCAGCACTAACGGTGACCATTTCCTAGCACTCCTGGGGACAAACCCATAAATGTAATTGGCACCAAGCAATAGAGTTGTCACAGCTTTCACCTGGCACATTAGGGCAAACTACTTTTATGTCTAAACCACTCGGCCTGAAAGCTTCCTCAAGTAGAGCCTGGAATTAATTCCACTATAATTCAAAGTATCATCAGATTTTCATTTCTCACAGTGAAAGCGTGCCCATATTGCCATGTTTTATGGCCTTGTTTGACCCGCGACAAGTGCTGGTTTGGCAGCGATATTTCAGAATCACCAAACCATGGGACGTTCTTTTAGGTAATTAGCCCAGGGCACTGGGCTCCATTTTTTTTTTTTTAACGCATTCTAATATTTTCAGAAAAGTATATGGCCCAAGGAGGGGACTTGGGTGTTCAGCTGCAGCCTGCATAGGAAAAAATTGTTAAAACCAACCAGGCTGGGCACGGGGGCTCATGCCTGTAATCCCAGCCGTTTGGGAGGCCAAGGCGGGCAGATCACCTGTAGTCAGGAATTCAAGACCAATCTGGCCAATATGGTGAAACCCCATCTCTACTTAAAATACAAAAAAAAAAAAAAAAAAAAAAAAAAAAAAATCAGCTGGGTATGGTGGCAAGTGCCTGTAGTCCCAGCTACATGGGAGGCTGAGGCAGGAGAATCACTTGAACCCAGGAGATGGAGATTGCAGTGGGCCAAGACCACGCCGTTGCACTCCAGCATGGGCAACAAGAATGAAACTCTGTCAAAAAAAAAATAATTAAAAAAAAAAAACAAATAGTGACACTGTGGTCCCCAAAGCTTCTCAAACTACTATCACAAGAGTCACTTGGGGTCTTGTGAAAATACAGTTCTGACTCCGACCTCGGTGTGGCCTGATGCTGCAGTGTGACAGGCGCCCAGGTGATGCTGCTGATGCTGGCCTACGGGCCACACTGAGGAGTGAAGTTGCAACATGTCATCCCTGGTTAAGAGCACAAACTCTAGACTGGGTGTGGTGGCTCTTATCTGTGATCCCAGCACTTTGAGAGGTGAAGGCAGGAGGCCAGGAGTTCAAGATCAGCCTGGCCAACACAGAGACCCTATCTCTAAAGAAAAAAAAAAAAAATTAGCCAGGTGTGGTGGCATGCACCTGTACTCCCAGCTACTCAGGAGGCTGAGGTGGGAGGATCGCCTGAGCAAAGCAGTTCTAGGCTGCAGTGAACTGTGATTGTGCCACTGTACTGCAGCCTCACTGCCTCACAGGGTGAAACCCTATTTCCAAAGAAAAACGAAAAACACCACTCTGGAGTTGAGCAAGCCAGGGTTGAAATCCTGCCTCTGCTGTGTACCATCAGCAGTGACCTTGGACACATGACCTAGCCTCTCCCAGCCCGAGTTTCCTCACCTGTAAAATAGTAAAACAACTTGACAGGTTGGTGAATGGGTACAAACTTAGAAGAAACACTTCTAGTGTTTGATAGCAGACTAGGGTGGCCACTGTTAGCAACAATATATTGTATATTTCACAGTTGCTAGAAGAGAGAACTTGAAATGTTCCCAACACATAGAAATGATAAATTATCAAGGTGATGGATACCTCGGATACCCTGGCTTGATAATTACACATTCTGTGCATATAAAACACATTCACATGCACCCCATAATATGTAAAATTTTATTCATCAATAAATGGAAAAAGGCCGGATGTGATGGCTCATGCCTGTAATCCCAGCACTTTACGAGGCTGAGATGGATGGATCATCTGAGGTCAGGAGTTCAAGACCAGCCTGGCCAATATGACAAAATCCCGTCTCTCACTAAAAATACAAAAAAATTACCTGGGCATGGTGCCACGTGCCTATAAATCCAGCTACTCAGGAGGCTGAGGCAGGAGAATCAGAACCTGAGAGGTGGAGGTTGCAGTGAGCCGAGATTGCACCATTGCACTCCAGCCTGGGCAGCAGAGCAAGACTCCATCTAAAAAAGTAAGAAAAATGAGTGAATGAATGAATGGACAAATGAATGAATGAGGGGGAAAAAAGGGCCAGACTTCTTTCTTCCCAGAGTTACTGTAAAGATCATACTAAATGATCCTTGAAAGATGCCTAGAGTTACACCTGGCACTGGTGAAGTTTTCACTAAATTGCAGACACAGCCCTAAGGCGGAGTTTTTGGCTTGCAGGGC